GGAACTTTTCAAAGGACATCAAATAAGCTATCCAAATTGGGAAATCTGTAGCATGGGGTCTTTTGATCTGCAAGAGTATAAAAATTGCAACAGACTCAGAGCAGCCCAGATGAGCTGAGCAGTCCCAGGCTGCTTGGTACAGCTTCTGAAGTGGAGCCTTTAAGAGGCCCTCTGCTTCTGTTTCTGCTTTCTTGTCCCGTGAAGAAGCCCAGTGGAATCTACTGGAGGCTGATAAGCCACGTGGAGCGAACGGAAGCCATCCTATCCATGGACCAACCAGGGCACTGATAGCCCGCGAGCGAGGTCATCTCAGACCATCCAGTCCCAGTCAAGCTGCGACAACGTCAGGATCCCAGGTGAGACCAGCTCGGCTGAGTCCAGCTTAAATTGCTAATGCACCGAATCAAGAGCAAATAAAATGGTTTGTTGTTTGAAGCTATTAAGATGTAAGGGGAGTTGTTGCATAGCAGTAGATAAATGACACACCAAGTAAAATCGTATCTGCTCTCAAGGCCGTATTTGATGACTGTTTGGAGACTCCCAAGGCCACCTGCAAACCCTCCTTGCTGAACCAGGCAAACTTAGAAGATAAAGAACAGCGTGTGCATTGGATAATACGCATCTGTTTCCCCCAGGGGCAGGATGACCTCGGGGCCAGAACAGGGCCTCCTACGTCTGTTCGTCCCGTGTATTGTGCTGAGCCAGGACCTGATGTACAGCAGGTGCTCCACGGACATTTACTCAATTAGTGAAATGCTGTGGGACTTGTCTAGCTTAACAACATCTCCTGCTCGGATTACCGCAGCAGTCTCCAACAGGGAGCACCCAGGCCTGCTCTCTCAAACCCCTCTTCTATCCGAGGAAGAAAACTTTCTAAAATGGAAATCTTTCCTGGTTTAACCCCAGCTCAACATCTTCCGTTGGCTCCCAAATGCCCTCACAGTTAAGTCCTATCTTTTTGGAATGATTTATGGAATCATAAATCTGTAGACCTTGACCTCTGTCTAATTCCAAAGACTCTCCTTGCATCAGTTTCTCCTTTGCTCTCTGGAACCCCCACAGGGACTTCTGTGGGACTGTACCAGCGGTACATGGTGCCTCTGGACCCTTACCCATGCCGTATTCTCTAGCTGAAACATTCACCACCAGCCGGTTCCCAAGCCTGGCTTAATCCTACTCACCCTTCAGTATATTTGGTACTGGATCCACACTGCTCTCTTGGCGGTGGCTAATGGTTTGGCTGCATGGTCAAGCGACTTAGAAAGCACAGAGTTGAAGGATTTAGGTGAACTTCCAGAAATGGCCACAGAGCGTAAAGGTATTTCTGTCCCACTACAGGGAGGCTCTTGACAATCGGATGGCTAAGATGGCATAGCCCACGGACACCAGCTGGCCTCCTTCTGCAACTCCTCCTGTGCTTGCCCAACCCACGTCTGCACAGTGTGGTCATGGCGGCAAGCATGGGGAGTGCTTACAGGTTCAACAGTGTGGACTCGCCCCACCAAAGCTGACCTGGTTGATGCCACCACCGTATGTCCGATCTACCATCCCGGCAGGGACAAATACTGAATACCCAATATATGTTTCTTCTGTAGGGATTCTTCTGGCTGCCTGGTGCCAGGTGGTTTCCCTGGGGCCTTCCCATCCTAGAGGGTACAGTGATTTAGTCTCATTAACACAGCCAAAATCTACAGTTCCAGCAATCAATAGCTTCTCTCACTACTACACCAAATAACCCACAGGATTAGTTTCTTGTATTTGCCATGACAAATTACCATAAACTGGGTGACTTAAAACAACAGAATTTATTGTCTCCTAGTCCTGGAGGCCAGAAATTCATCATCAGCTTCACGGGACCTAAATCAAGGCATCTGCAGGGCGGTGTTCCCTCCAGAACGCTAGCAGAGCAGAAAATCATTCCTTGGCTTGTCCAGCATCTGGTGGCTGTGGGCCTCTGCTGGGGCCACACTCCTCCAGTCTCTGTTTCTGTCTTCATAGGGCCTCCTCCTCATCTCTGTGCAGGAGATTTGCCTCTGGCTCTCTCTCTCTCAAAAGGACATTGACAATGGGATTTAGGGGCCTCTGGATAATCCAGGATTATCTCCCTATGTCAAGATTATAACTTAATCACATCTACAAAGATCCTTTTTCCTTATAAGGGAACATTTAAAGTTTCCAGAGATTAGGCTCTGATATCCTTGGGTGGACATTTTTCAGCCTCCTGTGCCCACTCACAAACCTTTTGCTGCTGGGCTCCTCTAGCTTTGGAGGTCTTCATTTGCAAAGGAAGGGAAGAAAACAGTTTTCATTAAATTGGAAGTGGAAACTTCTAACTGGCCATTTTGGATATCTCACGCCACTAAACCAGTAGGCATAGAAAGAGTTACTCTACCGGCTGTCTGACTGGTCCTCTCCACCAAAGGGGTCTTGGGGTGCTGCGGCACAGTAAGGATGGGGAGGACTATATCTAGAACCCAGGGATCCTTCGGGGCCCCTCTTAGTAATTCCTAGACAATAGTAGAAGTTAGCGAAAAGCTTTGGCACCCCAAAGGATCATGAAAGACTCAGACCCTCCAGGATAGATTATTTGGGTCACCCTACCATCTCAAGAACCCCAACTGGCTGATGTCCTGGCTAACGGCAGTTATAGGTAAGAGAATTACGAAGACACACACACACACACACACGCACACACACACACACCAAGCAAGGAAGAAAATATGTGTAAGTACAGGACTCCTCCTTCTGGTAACTGATCCCAGTGCCATCGTTGATAGATAGGTATTTGTTAGTTGAGTAAGTGTATGTATACAAAAAATAAATATTTTGCTAATTGGGTAAATGTGTGTGTGTGTGTGTGTGTGTGTGTGTGTGTGTTGTATATTAAACAATTCGTTTCCTCCTCCCTCCTCCTCCTCCCCTATTATTTTATATAAAGATTGTAAGTGATTGCAAACTTGACAGTTTACTGTTTAGTTGTCGGTGGGCGTGTGACTGAATGAAAGTAATTAACATCATCCACATATGGATTCAGTGGCGAACTCCTGGAGATGGATACATCTGTTGGACGGTGGGACTCTGTGCTTTTCCTGTTTGTGGGGAGAGGGTTCGTGTCTTCATTTGTATGCAGGGTAGTTTCATCTGATTGGGTGGAAGCTACTGTTGTCATATGGAGGTTCAACTGTGTGTGGAATGATGTGTATGGATACTGAGGGCCCAGAAGGGTGGACTGCGCCAGTTATGAAGCTGCTGTCTTAGCGTTCCAAACACAGCCTCTATACTCTGCTCTGTGGTCCTGGGGCTGGGACTCTGCAAACCACATGACCTTGGTCAGCTGACCTTGACAATAAGGGGCACTAGGGAAAGGTTGGGAGGCAGGAGGAGTGGAGACTCCTCCTTCCTTTGCTTGTAAGCTTATCAGTGCAGCCTAATGCCAACGGCCAATGCCAGCCTCCAGCTGTTTTCCTGCACTCCAAAACAAGCTTCACTGTACCCCGCAAGAGGTACGAGCACCAGCCAAACAGAATCCCTCTTCAGATTCCTGAGCCCCAACACGACAGGACTCCTGTGGGTTCTGCGAACCCCAGGTTCTCCCCTTTATTCCTGCAGCCCTAGGAGCAGCTGTTTCCTGCAAGAATCTCCTCTCATCTATCCTAGTGTTCCTTTTGCTCTTTTTTTTTTTTTTAATATTTTATTTATTTATTTGACAGGCAGAGATCACAAGCAGGCAGAGCGGCAGGCAGAGAGAGAGGGGGCAGCAGGCTCCCTGCTGAGCAGAGAGCCAGATTCAGGGCTTGATCCCAGGACCCTGAGATCATGACCTAAGCCAAAGGCAGAGGTTTAACCCACTGAGCAGCCAAAAAGTGCCCCCTTTTGCTCTTTGAGCACCCTCCTACAGCAGTGCAATCCAGCCCCTTTTGTAAATTCTCTTTGTTGAAAACCTTGCCTAGTTTCTGTTTTCCTAAGTGGACCCTGACTGACACTAACTATTAGCAAACCAGTACTCACTTTTCACTGGGGCCCTAAGCCAGGAGAAAGTAAATGTGTAAGCACCAGGGGTCATCATGAGAGTTCAGCCTGCGTGAGAGGGAGGCTGAGACAGAAGGCAGATCCCTGACATGTTATGTACCTAGCTCTAGCTGTGCCGAAAACCATTCTACCCTCCCGACAGTTTAGTTATCCGAGCTAATAAGTTCCATTTTCTTTTCTTTTCTTTTTTTTTTTCCTTTTCTTCTCTTCTCTTCTCTTCTCCTCTCCTCCCCTCCCTTCTCTTTTCTCTTCTTCTCTCCTCTTCTCTTCTTTTTTCTTTTCCTTCCTTCCTTCTTTTTCTTTCCTTAAGCTATAATTGGTTAGGTTTTTGTTGTTCAGGACCGAAGAGTGCTGACTAATCCAAATTTCTTCATCCCCACCCCCAGACCACGTACCCCACCCCGCCGCCACTGAACAGCCAAAAGCAACCACCTCCTACTGAAAACTTTAATGAAACCAATAAGTTAATAAGTTAACAAAGTGAGGTACTTGCATATCCGAGGACTGGGTTGGTGGGGGGACCTTGATTGTGAAAGGAGGGAGGGCTTCATCCCAAATCTCCTTTGGTCATAGGCTAATCCCATTCTCCTGACCCTCTCCACAGCTCTGTCTCTGAGGGGTTAGAGGGTGGCTTTCTGGGGACAGTGCAGTGCAGGTGAGGAGAGCCAGGACAGGCTCCATCCAGGGCATGACGGTCACATGCAGAGGAGACATTGGGGCAGAGGCTGGGCACCATGGGGCTGCACAAGATCCAGCCCCAGCCCTGGCGCTGGTGCATGCGGGTCCCCAGTCATGAGATGCAGGCTGCTGGGTCTGAGCCCCTCCTCATTCCCTGGCGCCCCACAGAGGGTCACCATCAGTCTGCTACCCATCCCCCTCCTGCTCCCTGCATTGGCTTCGCAATAGAGGGATAGAAGGGTCGGGATACCAAAGAGGTGCTGGGGGCCTGGCAGTGGGGGGGGGCTTATGCCAGAATGGGGGGCTGCCAACTGAAATGAAGAATGATGTGCAGAAGGAGGGGACACAGGGCCTGTGGGTGCCAGGTGCATAGCTGGGGCCCAACAGATTAGAGCAGCTAGATGCATTATTATTCTCTCCAGGAGTGAGAGTACTAGGAAAGGGGTAGGTCTAGTGGAAGCAGGCCTGGTAACCATCCTGGGGAAGGGCCTGGGGTTTTTCCAGTGCTGTCCAAGCCCCAGGGGCTTAGGCCTGAGTTGTGCTGTAGGGATGCCAGGGAGGGTCCTTGTGGGGCAGCAGAAGCAGCAGTTCGGGCTCCTGGACCAGTGAGAAGTAGAGGTTCTTGAGAAAGGGAAGCAGGTGAAACTCGGAGGTAAGGCCTAGAGAGGCCTGGGGCCACTTTGGAGCTCCCTGCCCTACTCAGATCGAGTGGCAGGCTTCCTCTTAAGTGGACGTCACCCTGCAGGGCCAGTCCATTAGCATCAGCTGCAGAACCCCAAGGAAGGCTGACCGGCTGTGTGCGCACATCTCCAGGTGTGTGTGAGACTGTGTGTGTCTGTGCGCGTGAGAGGCTTTCTGCATGTTGGGGGAAAGTTTGTGTGACCATGGGAGCACTGTCCGTGGGAGATTTGGAGGCAAATACAGAAACTTGTGCTGTAAGGTGTCTGGTAGGCCAAGGAGGGGAGTGGACATCCAGCAGGAAGAAGGAGCCCCTGGGAGGGGATACCTGCCAATGGGTAGGGGAGGCAAGGGAGAAACAGACCCCATGCTGGGTGAGGAGCGGGTGATAAGCCAAAGAACAGGGATGGGGGTCATGGCCAAGCAGCCTGAGACCAGCTATTGCTGGGGGCCCATCTCCCAATGAGGGAGGGGCAGAGGGACCCCATAGGGGTCCCCCAAATTGCATATTTAACATAGTTTGCATATATGGTGTCCAGCTGCCTTGTGGCAGGGTCCTATGCTTGTGGGTACCTAGAGGCACCTTGGGCCCACCCCCAAGTGGGGCGGGGACTTGGCGGGAGGGTTTCCCTGCTCTGTCCGAAGGGCGGGCCAGAGACCTCACCTTGCATAGCTGGAAGCTGGGTCAGGGCCCAGGACCCCAGCGCCCCACTCCCACTCCCGGGTCAGTGCCCCTGCCAGGTGGGCCATGTCGGGCCTTGATGGAACGGGCAGGGCACTGGGGGGCCCAGAAGCCGCGGGGCAGCCGCTGCTGCCGCCCTCCGTGCGGCCTGTCATCTCACGCTCCTGAGATGGGGCGGGTCGCTGGCACCCCCATGGCGAATATCTCCCCCACCCAGGCAGCTCAATACTGCGTGTGGCCTCTCTCCCCGCAAGGGAGCAAGTTCAAGTAAGAGAGGAGTCCGGAGGCCTCAGAGTGCGGGTCCGACCGCCAGGCCCAGGGGCTGGCCGTGTGCTGCCCCGCCCCTGAGAAGCCCCTCAGTCCATGTTGGTGCTGACCGAGCGGGAGATGCTGAGCGTCTGTGCGGAGACGGAGATGTCCTCGTGGTCCACAGGACTATGGTAGTCGGAGGTGATGTCGGGGTCGAAGAGCGGCACTTGCACGGTGCCCAGGCTGGCCGAGGTGCCCGAGCGCAGGCAGCGCGAGTAGAAGCCCAACAGCAGGTCCAGCTTGTGTTCGATGGACTGCACCTGGGGACGGGGCGCGGCTGGGGGCGGGGCTTGGGGCTGGGGCGGGGCTTGGGGAGGGGTGCTGTCAGGAGGCGGGGCTTGGCCGGGGAGGGACACTTCTGGGAGACGCGGTTCTTCCCACCCGAGGGGCGACAGAAAAGGCGGAGTTGGCCGGAGGGCGGGACGAAGGTGGGAAGCTGGGGGGTTCATTCCCGGAGGGAAATCTAGTTGTGATTGATTGGAATAGTCCGGGAGCTAGAGACAGACAACTGAGGCGGGGTTACATGGCAGTACTAGAAATTTAGACGGGCTTATCTGAGACCACAGCCACCTGGAGACGGGGCTTGGCAGGAGAGGGTGGGTTTATCGGCGTCGTCTAGCAGGAATGGGCGGGCTTCCTGGGAGGCGGGGCAATCTGTGGGACGGGGACCCGTGGGACCTAGGATGCGTGAACCCTGCTCAGGCCTCCCAGGCTGGTGGTCTGGGCTGCGGCTCCGAGAAGTCCACCCTCCCCTTGTGCTGGTCCCCGCGGCCTCCCGGGAGCTTCTTGGTCGACGACCAGCTCCGCCATACGAACGAAACTCCATCCCATACTCACCTGCTTCTCCACCTTGACCACGCGTCCCATCATACTGATTTCATCCACCGCGTCCGTGTCAGAGGGCCCCTTCTCTCCCTTCTCTCGGGCTTTCCGGTCCCCGGGCCCCCGCCCCACAATCTGGTCCACCCTGTGGAAGAAAGTAACCGTCAAATGGCTCAGACACACGCCAACCGTCCCTCCCTCAAGAACTCTAGGTTGCCTACTAAACGGGGAGATGCAGCCTGCAGTGGTAGGAAGACAGATGTGAAACGATGGACTGGGAAAAAAGAGACCCAAAAGGGAATGTAAGTTATAAGGTGGACAAGGCTGGAGCTGGTCCGACCTTATTTTTCTGCTCTCCCTTACAGCGTGATTCTTGAAAGCATTATCTCGGCCCGCTGTCCAATTTCTCTCCTCCCTTTCTCTCTTAAACCTACACCAGTCAGGCTTTCATTCCCACCATCTCACCAGAACTACTGTTGTCAAGATCCCAAATGACCTCCGTGTTGCTAAATTCCATGGTCAACTCTCAGGCCTCATTATACTTGACCTTTTAGCAGCACTCCAGCCCTCGGCACATCTGGTCACCCTTCTTCCCACATATCCTTCATGTGGGGTCGCAAACACCACCTTCTCCCAGTTATCCTCCTACCTCACGGACCTCTCCTTCTCCCTCTCCTTCTCCCTCTCCTTTGCTGGTTCTCCTCCTTTACCTCCACGAAACACTGCAGGACCCAAGGCTCACTCCTAGGACCTCTTTTCTCTCTGCACTCTCACAAGGTGATGTCTTCAGTTCCAGATTTGCAATTCCTCTGTACCCTGTTGACACAAATCTGTATTTCCAGCTGACAGCTCTCCTCTGAAGTCCACACTGCGCAGTCTAACTGCCCCAGCAACACTCCCGTGGATGTCCGTTTGGCTTCATAACCCAACACCTCCCAGCTCACCTGAGCCAAACATGCTGCCCTTGTTGGCTTCTCTGTGTCAACAAATGGCAACTTTTTCCTGTTGTTTCCTGTTGCTCAAGCCATAACCCTTGGCTTCAGCCTTAACTCTCTTTTCTTCTCTTATACCCCATCAGAAAACCCTACCAGCTCTACCTTTAAAATCTATCTGGAGTCTGCATACTTCTCCCACCCCCTCCACTGCTGCCCCCTTCGTCCAAGTCCCCATCATCTCTTGCCTGCACGTCTGACGCAGTCTCCTGTCTGGTCGCCCTGCTTCCACCCTCGCTTCCGTATAGGTCATCCTCAGCACAACACCTTCGGTGCTCCTTTAAAAATACGCTCAGATCTTGTCCATCCTTTGCTCCAACCTCTCCAAGGCTTGCAGCTCCCCCTAGGTGAATGCCAGTGTGTGTGCTGTGGCCCACGGGGCCTTATACAGCCCAAGGGCCATTCATCTTCCGACCTTGCCTACTGCTCTTAGGCCACAACAGACACACTGGGCTCCTTGGTGCTCCTTAAACAACACCCTAGGACACCTGCCCAAGCCTTTGCTCTTGCTGTTGCCTCTGAAAACTCTTTACTTAAACAGTCACAGGGCTGTTGCCCCACCTTTCACTTTTTTCCTCAAATGTGACCTTCTTTACCTATTTAAAATCACAAACCCCAACACCTTAACCCTTATGTTTCTCCTTAGGCTTGATCACCATCTGACATGGTCTAGTTTCATTTATTTATCATCTGTTCTCTTCCACTAGAATAAAAGCGGCATGAGGCCAGGACTCTTGCTTTCCACCAGAGCCCCACTGTCTGGCAAGTAACAAAAGCCCCATGACTATTTCTTAAGAGAACAGGTGAATGAATGGCAGTGAGAATGCCGGCTACAGGAGAAGCGCAAGGTGTGGGTGATTACGGTCTTGGTGCAAGAATTCTTCTTATGTGCTGGGTGGAGAGAAGAGGTGCGGGAGGGTTCCACAGGCAAGAGGGGGGCAGCATTGAGGACAATTTGCCTATCCCCTTGGTAGATGGGAGATCACTAATTATTTTAGTCCTCCTATTATTTCAGGACCAGGAAACAGCCATCTAAAGACATCCCCCCGGGGAGTGCAGGTTGGTAGGGATCACACAGAGGACGTGAGGCTGGTTCCTTCTTCTGGCTCAAGACAGGTGCGGGGTGAGTCCTCAGTGGCTTGCAGCAAGCCAGAGCCTTGCCCAGGCCAGAAACTCCAGCTCCCCCTGAGGCCTCTAGGGGGCGCCCGTGGCTCTGTTCGGGCGCGGGCCTGGGGAGGGTGGGGGGCCGCTCAGCTCGCAGTCCTCGCTTTGCGGCCGAGGCCACGGTCTCACTGCGAGCGCACCCACCGAGCCTGCAGGCTCTTGATCCGGCCCAGCATATCCAGGTGCCCTGCCGAGTACTGCTCGATGACGTCCTTCACATCGTATGGTCTCAGCGTCTCCTTGAATTTCCTTTTGGCCACCAGGAATTTCAGGATCCTGTCGGGAGAGGGGGTCTCAGCGGGAAGGGTTTCTTTTCCAGCCCGCTTTCCATCCCTTTGCTAACCTTTAGCTTAGCATGAGGGCACCTTCTGCTTGGGTCACTGCAAACAGCCTCTGCTGGGTCTCCCAGCCTCCCACCATGTTCCCACCATGTTCCACTCCCATCCCCTTGATGTCTCTTTGTTTTTGTGTTGTTGTTGTTGTTTTTAAAAATGTGGTTGTATCTGCAGTAGCATTAGCCTGGGAGGCCTGGGGCTGGGTCTGGTTTCTCCCTGCTAGCTGGGACACAGGGCAAGCCTCTGTGAACCCTGGTGATCAAGACGGCCAGGGGGAAGGCATTTTTGCATTCACTGCATAAAATGCTTGTTAGCGCCACCTGGGCACCCAAAGAGGCATGAGACCCAATCCCTAATCTCAGGAGCCCTGTTCCTGTCTCAGTGGGAGACAGGACACACAATTATGGGGTGACGAGGGCCATGTCAAGGAATGGAGACAGTGGTCTGGGATGATGAGAAAGGGGCTCTCAGCTGGGGAGTTCAGAGGGCAAGTCTGGAGAGTGGTACATTCCAGTCCCAAAGGCAAGGGGGGCGGGGATGAAAAGAGGCTTTCTGGACACAGACAGACATGGAGGCATGAGAGTGAGATTCCATTCCAAGTTGCCGGGCCAGAATGTGCCGCCGAGGGATTGAGCCACGGGGGGAGGTGGGGCAGCATATAAGAAGAGAAAGAGATTGACCTTGA